CCGCTCCTCTATTCGGGCGTTTCAGTCGTACCACAGCAATCCCAAGTCACATCGAGGGCAGTGGACTGCGAAGGACGTCAGCTAGTATTCTTTCCGACACTGACTTGTAGTCTTGTAGGGCGTACTCTTGGGCGCTTTGGTAATTTGCAAGATATTTTTCCGACCCCAGGACGGTTTTGTAGACGTTGTAAACTACACTTGGTCTCTTATAGTGAGCACCAAATGCCAGCACAGGTCAGAACGTGAAGACGGATGGAGGATGTGGAGGCCAAGGAGGGATTTTATTGAAGCTGACACGGAAGCAGACAATCAAAGTCAGTTCCACGCCAGAGGATTCTAACATCACAATGCTCAAGTGCATCCTGTCTTCGGACAAGCCAGTCCTTCACCTCCGACCGAGGGACAAGTTCCGCAGTAATGCGCCATGCGGACTTCCAGGGAGGGTCAGCATTGCCAGCCCGGTCACACCAACCCAGGTAGTGCTCCACTGCTCGTTGTACCTCGCCATATGTCATCGGTCCCACCAAAGGAGATGAAGAACTGAAAAGCAGAGTCATGGAAGCCATCTCTCCGCCCGCCACGTTTATATCACCGGGAGGAGAACGGTAGACTTTGGCGTCCACCGCCAAAGTATCCTTGAGATCCTCCCAGGCGACCTTCTCCAGTATCTCCCTACAGCTGAAGAGAAAATGCACTGCAAGGTGATACATCGCGCCAGGTTCTGCACAGATGGCGTTGACCGACCAGAATCTTCCCAAATCAAAAATATGCGTCTCGTTAGAGCGATAGGCTTGTTCCACCAGCTTGTTGTACAGCCCAGCACCTGCGACACCTACTTCTGCAGTGGTTGGAATGTAAAATAGCCCCAAGTCGGGTATGCTAGACAGACTCGAAGGCATGGTTGCACGTAGTCATCCGGCAACTTTCCACTGCGGAATCTAATTCCGATCTCCGTTAGCAGATCTGAGATAATATGTTCCAAAAGAGGATTGCATCGCAGTTGAGCATACGTCAGAGCCACTGTTTGCGCCTAACTTCCAATTAAGAGCGAAAACAGTACCCACAATGCCCTCCTGTCACTGCGACGTAGCAGCTCTTGAGACGAAGTCTCCGGGTTTCTAGCGCTGAATCAAGTTCACGTCGGACTGTGACAGGCAGTTTGTAAGCACCACACTCATGAGATCTTGCCCGGCCAAAATGTTTGCAGGATCAAGTTTACTTCTTGCCAAAAATCGCACGAGCCTTTTGCTCTTAGTTGCTTCCCAACTATGACCCCGTTACATGTTGCATCCGCCATTCATGCTTATCAGTACAACTACTGGCTACGCGATACATGCATGCAAGCATTCTGCATCATCACTCTGTTCTGATTTGCTCGTTGGGCCGTCCTGCATGCATATTGGATTTGATTCCGTCGTATCAATTATCGTAAGACCCAATGACGATCAGCCTAGAAAGACCGGGACAGCAGGTGCCGACACAACCGACAGTTGGACGCCATCGCTGCGCTAGACCAATCAAATCCGGTCTCCCAGAATTGTACTGCCGTGCATTTGGTGGCAGTGGAATAGACCAAGTCGCACTGTAGCCGTTCCCGTTCCGCTTTTTCGGACTTGTGACCTCGGTGGTCCGACATAATGCGTAACTGAACTGGTGGCGGAACAATTACGCTCTAGGGCGACTGTACGACCTCTGTGCTCGCAAGTTCGGACAGGAGAGACCATGGCATCTTCAAGAAGATGGGCTGGACCTGTTCCGGCTGGCACTTAATCGGCTCGGAAGCTTACAATGGCTAGGGGATAGGAGGATCTCGATGAGGCGTGGCGTTCGTCGCGGCATACGATGGCTCGCGACACTCTCCATCTCAAGCCGATATTAGCCGCGGTGGATGCGAGGGTTCCACCAGGCGATGCTACGCGCGAGAAGCTCCGATGGAAGAGCGAGCTGTCGTCTCACGGCCAGATCATGTCGGAGGCGTACGTGAAGAAGGTTTCTCG